ATTCTTCACCATCAAACTCAAAACCGACCACTGGAGAAGCGCTCATGCCTATCGCGACGAGTCCCCCCGACTCCAGTAAGTTTTCAACTCCGTTTGTTCCTGGCTTCGCAATCAAATTCTCCGATGCGCTTGGGTTGGTTCCGAGTGCCGTTACTGATATCTCCTTTGTTAGATCCTGAACCGCCGCCTCAGGACCAGCCCGCCACCACCGATGCGTCGCCTCCGTCGAACCATGTAGAGCCCGTCAATGCGGCTCAAGAGTCCGTCGCACCGACCCAGGGCTCGGTAGAGGACTCTGCAGCCACGTCTGCTGACGCACCGAAGAAACATCATCTACTGTTGCCCATCCCGTCGCGTGCATCCTTAAAAGCGGATCGACAATCTACGCTGGACAAGAGTCAAGACACCGCTCACGATGACTCCGAGAATACTCTTCGCGGTTCGAAAAGAAGCATATTCAAGGGTCGTAGGGACCGGAGCAGAGGTAGCAGTATGAGGTCGCGTCGGCAAAACCAGGAGGGGGCGAGTATGGAGGAAGACAAGTCGGCAAGCCCTGACTTGCGTGATCCGGCCAAGCCAGAGAGGAGAAGCAAGGTCTCGTATAGGTTGTTCGCCTTCTTGAGCTGTTGTTCCTCGCCCAGCGATGATTCGGAGGACCCTGCCATCCCAGCGAAGAGGACATCCAGACAGCCATCGGTTCCCCACACCCAGGCCACTCCGGAGAAGGCTGACACCAATGCTGGTGATTCGAGCACCGCGGAATCCAAAGACCCCAGCTACTACCGGGATGAGAAACCCAACATGACTGTGACGTCGAACCAGTCCATGTCTCAAGTGGACGAAGAGCGCACTGTGACTACTTCCGAGCAGGGCGCTCAGCTTGATGGTGCAACGGTACCTTCGGGTGCGGCAGAGACAGAGAAAGTACCGACTTTGCCACAGGACAGTGCTGAATCACAGGGGCTTGGTGTAGGCCAGAGTACTCAACCTTCCACTACGACCGCCGAAGCAAGCGCTGTTGCCAGCGAAGCGGAGGAACCCGCTCAGAAAATAGAGGAACAAGCGATCTCTCCCCTCACTGAAAAGTCTCAGGATGCTCCGACTGCTCCTATAGAGCTGGATGAATTGCCTAAGCCCCCGGCGTCCGAAAATAGCTATGACGACGAGAAGTATACTTCACACGACGAGGAGGCGACAGTAATTCCAGCTGAATTGCCTCCGCCGACGGGCCCATCTGGACACCACGCCGATACAATGCTAGAGGAGACGCAACAGCAATTCCTCTTGCCGCCACCTCTTCCCCATCTGCGGGACAGGAAATGCTTGGTTCTCGATTTGGACGAGACGTTGGTTCACAGTAGTTTCAAGGTCCGCCATCCTCAGTTTCTCATCAACCCAGTGTTAGACTAACCTGTGTTCAGGTTCTTGAACGCGCGGATTTTACCATTCCCGTGGAGATTGAAGGTCAATATCACAACATCTACGTTATAAAAAGACCTGGTGTCGACCAATTCATGAAAAGGGTGGGTGAGTTGTATGAAGTGGTTGTCTTTACTGCTTCTGTGTCGAAGGTGAGTTATTCCAAAATAAGAATTATCGGCTACGCATTTGCTCATGCTTCATTAGTACGGTGATCCTCTGCTGGATCAGCTAGATATTCACAACGTTGTCCACCACCGACTGTTCAGGGATAGTTGCTATAACCATCAAGGCAACTATGTCAAGGTTTGTTCCACTCAGTGTACATTGTCTTGCGTGTATTGTTTGCTGATCCCTGGTTAGGATCTCTCTCAAGTAGGCCGCGACCTACGAGATACGATTATCATCGATAATTCCCCAACTTCGTATATCTTCCACCCTCAACATGCGATACCCATCAGCAGCTGGTTCTCTGACGCCCACGATAACGAGCTTCTCGATCTGATTCCCGTCCTCGAAGACCTTGCCGGGGCACAAGTGAAAGACGTTAGTCTGGTTCTCGACATTACATTGTGATGCCTGTAACTCTAGTTTTTCTGGCATTTGCATTACAGCATGCTTATCTTCACCTTGCGGGTCCACTCGGTTTTCAAAAGAAAGAGTCATCTGATTTTTGATCAACTATACGCATGAAACGTCTGCCGTGTCGAGCAGCCAGACCGTCCCGGCAGCTCAATCCAGCTTCGTCTGGGATCTGAACGCTCGCGGCAGTTCCACAGTGAAGATGTGTTTTCCTTAACTTTTTCCTCCCCATCATCATCTTTTTGCCTTTATCCCCATGTCATTCGCACCGTTTTTTCTTCCGAGCACCGGCCATGTTCTTGCGCTCCCAGCGAGCAGATACCAGATTACCCCCGCCAGTCTTGTTTCCTAGTGTTTAAAGTTTTCTTTCCTGTTGCATACCGCAGGCGTCAGTCTTGGTCATCAGCCAAAATTTTGCTGATCTCATGTATACGCTCCCCGATTTACATTCCCTCTTTTCTTTCATCTGTCTCCTTCTACTTTTGATTCCTTTCATCGTCCACATTTTGTTCTTTTTGCTTAACATGCAGCCCATAAGAGGCTCGACCCGCCGTCCTGGTTATTTTCCTAGTCTCTTTGTGCCCGAAGATGTGAACCCCAAAACCCAGCGTTGTTTTTGTCATTGGTTCGCCATGGTCTATTTTTTGGAGACTCCCCAGCGCGTGGCATTTTGATTCATGTCTCAAGCGCCTGTCGCTGCTTCTGGTACACGCATAGTTTGAACGGTTCCAGACTTACATGGGATCGGACTTTGCAATGTATATGTACTGATTGGGCGTGCGTGCTGTACATAAAAGCGTCCGCCTCCACCATCCAGCTTGTCCCGTGTTTAAGTAGTTTTGAATTGACCATTTCACGAGACGGCCGAGTTCCAGAGTCGTATAGATCAGAAGTAACGAGTAAAACAGGCGGTAACGTATAATGGACAGAATTATTGGCGATATATCGAGCATCTAAACTACAGCGTAGAGTGGATCGCCTCTTAACGGGCGAAGGCGGGCTGAGATCACGCCGCGGCAATAATGACCGATCGGTCGGTCATCTCCAAATCTTCCATCGCATCCCGCTTTTGTCCGCACTACATCGTGTCAGCTCATGTGAGTATTCCCCGATTAGCCCCGTCCTGAACTCTTTCCTACATATATACATACATAATTCCCCTGCAAGGCTGTGTCCGCTTCCTTGAGCCTCCATCCAAAGCTCCGACGATCTCCTGATATTTCTTGGCAGCGTCATACCCAATCTCCCCGCCTCCAACTGCATCACCACCAAACCACTTTTTTTCCCAGGACCACCCTACACACACACACGCCCACACCCCATCGCTCAACATGAAGGACAAAAACGGCTGGGACGGAAAGCTACGGGTCGAACCGAAAGCCACGATCACGAACCCGGAAGCACTAGAAGACCCCGATTACTCGGACTCGGATGCGCCGCCTGTGGAGGAGATCGAGGCCGATGAGGGTATGTCGATCAACATCCATGAATACCGGGATGCTGTGCTGTAGTATACCGGTGATACAAAGGACAATATACTGATGGTTGGGTTTTGTGTGCAGATCTATTGGAGGACGAGGACCCGGAAGCAGAGGTATACGCTGATACTTCTTCCGACGCGACGCGTTCGTTGATTGATGGACACAGCCAGTTAGCTAACACGCCTCGCATCAGGAAATCGACCTCGTTCACTGTCGCATAACTTCGCTTCCGGCGTTGCGGTTGGAGCGGTTTCCCAAGGTGAAGGTATGGCAGGGTTACCCAGTATTTGTGTGGTCGCGCGATACAGTGCTAATTGAACGGTGGATGATGTAGAGATTATGTTTCCGACAGAATCAAATCACACGAATCGAATTCCCCACGGAAGTTGCCAAGTCGTTGACGGAACTCGATCTCTACGATAACCTGATATCGCATGTGAAGGGACTTGATGAGTTCGAGAATTTGACCAGCTTGGATCTTAGCTTCAATAAGATTAAGCATGTTAAGAATATTTCGCATTTGGTCAAGTTGACGGATCTGTATTTTGTGCAGAATAAGATCTCGAAGATAGAGGGGGTGGAGACGTTTACGTCGTTGAGGAATCTGGAGCTGGGGGCAAATAGGATTCGGGTAGGTTTTGGATGTGCTTAAGGTGATTTTTGGGGTATCGTTCTGACTGCTTGCAGGAGATTGAGAATCTGGATAATCTGAAGGCGTTGGAGGAGCTGTGGTTGGGGAAGAATAAGATCACGGAATTGAAGGTACGTGGGTTGCGTTGCGAGTCTTGGGTGTAACGTGCGTTGGCTGACTGACTACGGTGATGATAGAACCTCGATGGCCTCTCCAACCTGCGCATCCTCTCTATCCAGTCGAACCGTCTCACGAGTATCAGTGGGCTCTCGAAGCTGAAGAACCTGGAGGAACTCTATGTGTCCCATAATGCGATCACCGACCTTAGCGGTCTCGAGGAGAACACCTCGCTGCGCGTGCTGGACTTTTCCAACAACCAGGTGTCCAAGCTGGAACATGTGTCTCATCTGAAGAATCTGGAGGAGCTGTGGGCGTCCAACAACCAACTGTCGAGCTTCGATGAAGTGGAGCGCGAACTCCGGGACAAGGAGAAACTCCAGACGGTGTACTTTGAGGGCAACCCGCTACAGACGAGGGCGCCGGCATTGTATCGGAATAAGGTGCGGTTGGCGATACCGCATATCATGCAGGTTGACGCGAGTAAGTCTCCTTTCTCTACTTGTCGATGCTTAAAGATGCTAACGAAACGTAGCGTATATCCGCGTTGTGTAAGGGAACGATTTCTTCATCTTACATGCCATCAACCTCATCCATAGCTCTTAATGTACCCGCCCACCTACCCATCACCTATTAGAATTACAATAAACGAAGTGACGTACGTAGCCCGCTATACATACATGTACAATCCAACCGACCCACCCTGTTATACAGAGAGAAAAAAAAAGGAAACAAATCATACAATCATCATCCCAACATTCCTCTTCACCTCACTTCGTCCCCTCTCCCTCTCCCTCCCCATCCTTCCTCTCCCTCTCCCCTTGCCCTTCCATCCCATTCCCACTCTCACTCTCACTCTCCACCCCAAACCGATACAACCCCATCAAACTCTTCCCCCCAAACCTCCACACATCCCGATCCAGCATCCTCTTCACCCGCTCCGGCACATGCGCCTTCCTCCTCATCGGCCCATCCGCCAAATAATCCAACGGTATGCCACTCTTCACCAGATCCTTATACATATGGCTGTCCTTATCCACGTAGAAGAATGTATGGTATGGGTTACGCGTCATCGCCGAGACGTGGTTATGTCGTGAGGGTTGGATCGTGCATGTTAGGGTCGGTCCTTGGGGTTGTGATGGTGATGGTGATGGTGATGGTGTGGAGTGTGTAGCTGTATGCGAGGGAGATTCATTTTTTCCCTCTAGACTCTGGCTTTGCGATTGACTTGGTGTTTGTGTTTGAACTTGTACAGGGATAGTAATCGGCGACGCCGCAATAGCTGAAGACGCCGCGGCCGCGGACTCGAAGATAGCGATGGTATTGTGGGCGGATTTGGGGGATGTGTTTGTGGGGTCGTACTATATCCACCATTATTTTATTTAGCATTGTTTTGGTAAACGAGGGAGAGGGGAGAGGGGAAAATGGAGGGGGGTTACTTTTAGATTTCGAAATGTCACGACTTCGCCGAATTTCTGGAGTGCGGAGAGAATGAGTTTGCTTTCGGAGAGGGAGCGCGGGGCTGGGTGCGTTTTGATGTGGATGCTGCTGGTTAGGGGTTTTAGGGTCATTTTGTTTTTTACTTATTGGGATTGGGGTTGGTGGTGTGGTGGTGATGGGTTCATGGTATTGAATGGGTGGATGTTAAGGTGAGTGGATGATGGGAGATGGATGGATGGGATGGAGAAATGTTGGTTATCGCGATGCGGTGGTCTTGGCGGGTTTATCTTATCTATTATCTACGACCATGTCACATGCATCAAGTTATAACATCTACAAGATTGGTATGTATTCATATATCGTATGTACACTCATAGCTGGGTCGTTTAGAAAATAGGGGCGTAGAGTCCGTACTGCGATTCCAAGTTAGTAACCAATTCCACATAATGATACAATGGAAGAAAAAGGGAATAAAACTCACTCCCAGAGGATCATTGAACCGCAACCCGCGATCCAACTGAGCAATGTCCCGAATCTCGTTCTCCTCCAAATCCCACCCGGTAACATCCAGGTTGTGCTTCAACCGCTGAGGATTATTACTCTTAGGAATAACCGCCACGCCCCTCTGCGTCGCCCACCTCAACAACACCTGCGCCGGCGTGCGTCCATGCTTCTCCGCAATGCCCTGAACAAGCGGGTGCTCGAACAACGGCGGCGTATTCACTGCATTCTGCACACTCAACTCAAGGAAACTCAACGGTCCAAAAGAACTGTACGCCGTAACTGTCAAACCCTCCTTCTGAGCATACTCAACCAGTCTCGTCTGCGTGAGGTAGGGATGATGCTCGATCTGCAGCGTAGCAGGACGGATGCGCGCATACCGCAGCAGATCCATGACCAGCTGCGCAGAGAAGTTACTAATACCGATACTGCGAGCGAGCTTCTTATCCACGAGCGACTCCATCGCAGTCCAGGTCTCTTGGATCGTGGCGTTGCCGAACTCCAGCTTGCCGTTCTCGGACATCCACCCCGGCGGGTAGCGAACCGCAGGGTCGACGTATTTCAGCGCGATGGGGAAGTGCACGATGTACAGGTCGAAGTAGTCGATGCCCCAGTCGTCGAGCTGCTTGCGGCAGATGGGTTCTACGCGGTCGCCGTCGTGGAAGCTGTTCCATAGCTTGGAGACAATGAAGAGCTCTTCACGCTTGACGAGACCATCTTTGATGGCCCGCGCGACGCCTTGGCCGGCTTCAACTTCGTTTCCGTAGTCTATGTTTCATGTGTTAGTTTGGAAATATTGGTGGTGTTTTATGGGGGGAGCAGTACCGCAGGCGCCGTCAAACAGACGGTATCCTTCCTTGATGGCCTCGTAGATCTGGTCAGCGCAGGTGTCGTTGTTCACCTTCCAGAGACCGAAGCCCACGAGGGGCATGTCGTAGCCGCTGTTTAGCTTGACGGTGGGAGAGGCCATGGTGATTGAAGGAGTAACAAGGTCGTGTTGAGACAAGGTATAGAGACGCGGTCGAAGTAGGATCAGGGGGGATGAAGGGAGAGAAAGGGAAGGTTTGGAGGGGTAATAAGTAACTGCCCCTCGGTCATGGCATTATGAACTCAAATCCATTGCGCGTATCCACTGGAGGCGCCATACACGGCACAGATAGCGGCATTGGAGGCTAAATGAATTTGTGGCGGCTGTATTAAATTGGGGTAGTAACTTATCCAAGGGCTGGCCGGATGCCATCCAAAGTCGGGCCCGGCTAAATGCATCCATCTGCCGGCTAAATGCCGCCACTTGACCCTAATTTTGGTTCTGCCACTACGGAGTACTGTGTTTACAACTTGGGGAATAATACTTACTACGTAGTTCTAGGTGTAAATGAAGGTATTGGGTTAAGAAGAAATAATGAATAAACATTGTAAAAAGGTATCCTGCCATTATTTTACACTGCATATGAATCGAAGATTAACCGGCCCATCACATTATTAAGAATACTTTTTTCGCCATAATTATCATTAAGTAGTCTCGCTCGGCCTGTCATTAAACGGCCTGTACTGTATTACTCGCGGTGTAAGAGTGCGCGTGCTCATGCGCTCCTCCATTCATATCGGTCGGCAGGCTGCTCGGCCACTTATCGAGCTCCTCGGGCATAAAGTCATAGCTGTGGCTTGGATTTGGCTCACGGGGCACCGCAACGTGGTGCTCGGATGACGGGAAGCCAATGTGCGGGTAGTGGCTGCCGGGGATGTCCCCGGACATTGCAGTGGTTGGTGGCATCCAGGATGCCTGGCTGTTGTTCATATCGTCGATAGACTGTGCGCTCGTCACCAGCATGCCGTTCAGCAGGGCGTTGTTGTCGTGCACATTGACCCCAAGTGGCTGGCTGTGGACATAGTGGCTATCATGCTCAAGGCTGTATGGACCATGAGAGGAATGCGACAAAGGAACCTCTGGCATGCTAAGAATGCTTGTGCCACTGTTGGGCCCGTTGAGGCTGGTTGGCTGGCTGATATCATGTGATTGGAGGCTTGGGAAGCCATCCAGACCCAAGGTCACAGCGATCTTATCATTAAGGCGGTCTTCTTGCTTGGGAAGGGGGCTCATAAAATCAAAAGGTGCATTGAACATTTGTGCAACGCTCTCCTGGCCTGTCGAATACAGAGGCCAAGGGTTTTGGGAAACTCCATTGTTGTGAAGGAGTTCGTGCGGCTGGGGTTGATGGTAAACGTTAGGGCCCGGCCGGTTCAGGAGTATGGAGTCAGCAAGCGACATTGGGGGAGGGAGATCGATGCCCGTCGCTGCTTTGGGGCTTGCATGAGGGATTCGATCCGACGAGACCACTCTACGCCATGTTGTAGTGCCAACTACGTCGCGGGGCAGCGTCTGTCGGAATTTCCAGAGAATGATTGCCACCCTCTTTTTCTCACTCACGGAATGTCCAGAGTAGGGGTTGGACATTCTCCGCGAGCTGTAGGGTGTCATAGCTCGAATCTCCTGAACTACGGTCAGGTGGCGGAGGAACTCCCGAGCTTGCTCGTGGCCATGGTGTCCAGCATCCTCGGCCAGCTTTTGATCTTGCGTGAGCTTGGTGAAGCGATTCGCCCACCATTTGGATTCAAAGTGAGGCTTCACCTTGGTGTGCGTCGCGGTGTGCGTTGGCCTCGCAACTTCTTGCCGGCCTTGATAGATCTCTTGGCCATTTTCATACATGTAGATCTTGGAGGACCAATTCTCCATCTCACTAAGGATCGGCACTCCAGCCGCACTAGCCTGGGCGAAGTCTAACTCCAAGTGAATGCCGAGTTTAGAGCGAGCAGCCGGGAAGTCATCCATCAACTTCAGGTTGGATTCGATTAGGATAATGTCGCAGTCCAATGATCCATTGGAATTCGCCATCAGCGAATTGAGGTAAGGAAAGGATGTTTGCCAGTTTCTGATCTCATTCAAAGAGATCGGCGCTACCGGGTGCCGCTGGTCGTCTTGAAGGCGACTGTAGATATGGCTCGCGTCCTCAATACGATCGTTCTTGTCTGGCTCGTTTACCCACATACCGAACCCGAGGCCTTGGATAGTACTGAAGTTGCTCTCGGGCCAGCTGGCGTTCATGGAAAATGGGGTAGGAGGCAGTTCTCCATAGGCCTGCCTCATAGGGTCATGATAGGTGGGGTGGAGGTGAGTGCCATAATGACTTGACAAGGGAGGATCCATGGCAGGCCCCCATCTTGGACCAGCGGGCGGATGTTGGTTGTTCGAGCGGACGTTCGCCTCTTCTCGTACGAGTCGCTCCCCTAGATACTTATATTAGCTCGGTCCGACTTTAGTATACTTGGCTTTGTCACTTACAATCGGGGTCTCCTTTGAGGAACGAGTCGAGGACTTGGAGGTGGCTGGAGACTTGCTTTCGAGTTCTTCGTTTACCAGTTTTTTTGTAGATGAACTCAGCAATGAGCTCATTTCGACCATATGACTTTCCTCGCTCTGACCATTTCCGTCTGCCCATTGGCGGATTCGCCTCGAGAGCTATCACAACATTAGTACTCATATGTCGTGCAGCTAATGGATTGTTTTTCTCACCTTGTTGAAACGCGTCTTCAAGCTCGTCCGACCATACCGGTTCCCCATCTTTGCCAGTGTCTCGACGTGGACGGGACCTGTACTCCAGATACTTGCTGGACCTGAGATAGCTTCTGGGCCTGCTACGAGGACCGATTAGGCTGGGCCCAAATGAATGCAGGCGCCGGAGCTTCTTGCTCTGGAGCCGGAGGTTCTGAGGGGGCTGAAGGGTGGTGGGAACAGTGGGCACTGGATGTGTTGGAACTGGGGGTTGAGGATACTTGAAGGCAAGTTGCTGCAGCTGGTCGTCACGACCAACAGTGCTGCTGTCGGCTAGGTTGTCAGAGTATGTCTGGACGTTCCCAGAGGTGTTCTGCAGGGCCCTGTCCGTATGGGCACCGATGCTCTCAAGAGCTGACTGGTGTTGAGGCACAATACACCCCGTTTGCCAGTGCGCCATCGAGCGGACCACCGGAGAGGATTGACTCTGGGAAAGAATGACAGAGAATGCCAAAGAGGAGGGTGATGGAGGACAGCAAAATGCTTACTACCGCCGTACCAAAGAACCCAGTAGTCACAAACCAGCGATCAAGAACGTAGATGCTTGGAGAGAATGTAAGAATTGGGAGAGAGAATGTGGGAGCGAAGAGCATGGTGTTTATAGGAAACCACTACTCTCCCTGGAGAGGGAGGCCTAGTGGCATAGCTGAATCACGCTGCTCGTTGATACACCACCCCTCCAAGGGCTATGTCAACTGTTCAAGGCGGGGAAAGGAATCTCCTCCCAAGCTTCACGCGTCCAGGTCGAGCTATGAACGAAGGAAGATCCTGTGTCCGAGCAAATCAGGAGGAAAGGAACTGCACGATGGGAACAAGCGGAAGACCCATGCAAGGGATGCTCCCTGAGCACGAACCAGTAAGCTGCTCCTCGGAGGTTTTAGTGCACGAGACAAGCAGTGACTGCTAATTTGAGATACGTTTTGGAGCAGCTAGACGTCCAAGTCCGTGGCAATGGCCATTCTCTGGAATGAGCAGTGGCCAACGACATCGTCCAGTGCCACGGGAGTGGAATGTAAGAGGTGGTTACGTAGATCATGTTGGAATGTATGGCCTGGACAAATTGGACAATCCCAGGACCAACTAGTCTTCACTTGGATATCCAGGGTTCGAGCAACTAGGTGTATAAGGAGTTAAGGGTAAGAAGCCTTGAATCGGCGAGGATAAAGGAACCCGGGATGGGATGACAGGAATAGACTCGGATGAAAGACTTCACTGCACGAGCGGACGGGTAACTCTGCAGGACGCGCGCGTATGTACGTGTTGACAGCCGCAGGAACGTGTTTAACCTGCGTCCGCAGTCCATGCTCAGTGTCCGAGACGCAAGGGATATAAACATCAAAATCGTACCATTGCTATTGTCTGTCCCTACTAACAGGGAGAAAGAGCAGGGACTTAGTCCTCTTCGCCGTCCTGGGCCCCTACAGTGAACTTCTTGCGCCCAGGCCCGGCAAGCTTTTGTAGCTTGACCCTGTCCATCTGTTCCCCTACTTTCTTTTCGATCTGCTTGATTTCTTCCTCGGCATCGATCGCCTCCTCGTTTGCAAATTCCAGGACCAGCTTTCTGCCCAGAAGATGGGTATTCTTCAACGCGTCCATAGCGTTTTCCGCTTCGCGAGCGCTTACAAAATCCGCAAAACCGAAACCGCGAGCCGATCTGTCAAACTTCTTAGGAACCCGCACAGAGCGCAGTTGCCCATAGGCTCCAAAGAGTGACCGAACGTCCTTCTTGGTGGCCTGGAACGGCAAGTTCTTAATGATGATCTTCGTCCTTCTGGCCGCAACCTTCTTCGCGGTATCTTCACGCCTCCGCTCTTCAGCCGCATCCATTCCACGGTGAGACACCCTAACTACCAGTTCATGCTGATCAAGCTTGTAGCCATTCATGGCGGCAAGCGCAGATTGGGCCTGAGCCTTCGACCTGAATTCCACGAAACCGAAACCCATGCTGAGCGTTTGTCCGGGATGCTTAGGGTCGGGCTTAGTCTTGATCTTAGCAGACACAAAGCCATCCAGTGGCCGGAATAAGTCCACAAAACTCTGTGTCGTAGTAGCAAAGTTGAGGTTCTTTACGAAGAGGGTTGTAGTGGGCGTAAGGTCATCAACCTCATCTGCCGCGAAAGTGTCAGCGGTGGAGAAGCCTTGAGAGACGGCCTTAGTCTCTATGGTTGCCTTCTGTGGCACGGCTGCAGCATCAAACAGATCCTTGGGAGCCTTCTCCAGGAATAGGATAGAGTCTCCGAGTTTCCGGTAGGCAAGTCCCTTGAAAGCTTTCTGGGCCTCATCTGGTCTCGAAAACTCAACGATAGCTATCGTTCCACTAGGGGGCATGAGTAACCTCGTTATTTGCCCGAATGGTTCGAACATTTTCCTGAGCTCATCAGTCTTGACGCCGTACGAAAAGTTCTTTACAAGGATAGCAGTGTTTCCACGCTCCCGCTGCTTGAAGGCTTCAATATTAACCCCATTAGCTGAGAAGTAAGCTTTCGTTTCTTGAATTACGTGAGTTTCAGCGTGAGCCTGCTTCACAGCAGCGTCAGATGAAGTAGGATCCAAGAGATCTGCTTTGGAAACACCAAGTCGCTCAGCTACTGAAGACATAACGGCATCGGTCTGCAATTTATTAGCGGATGGTACTGGCGGCTATTGTGCGAGCTACTCACATTCATGTAAAGAGAGTTCCAGCTGAACGTGGAAGACGAGGCATCCATCTTCTTTTTGATTTGCTTTTGCTTTTTCAAAGGCAGTTTCGCCAGCTCAGCATCATCAATCTTGTAAGTCTTCTTCGCGGCTGCTGGCAGAATATGCATCAAGCGGCCTTGGAAGTGCTTTCCGTCGAGATTCTTGTAGGCCTCTACGGCTGCATCTGCGTCGAGGTACTGGATGTAGGCAAACCCCTTGCTGGTGTTAACCCTGGTATCGAAAGCCACATGGATCTAGGCACATTAGCATAATTCAAATAACTAATGAGTGAATCAAGCAGCAATATTAAGGTGTGTAGCTCTTCAGATAACAAGAGGCATCTACTAAAATACTCTTTCCTGGTAACATCATGTGCTTTGCATCTGATGTCCCTATCAGGACGATCATCATTGAGCTGGGTAGGGGGTCGTGGATGGCAAGAAACAAAACTCATGGATTTACTAACCTCTTCAATTCGTCCGAAAGGAGAAAATAGCGGTTCGAGATCTGACTCTGAGGTGTCGTAAGCAAGGTTCCGCACGAACAGACGTGCAGATAAACGAATGCTCTCGATATTCGTGTCGACCTGCGGCTCCTGAACCGTCTTGGCTTCAGTCGCGGCAGGAGCGACAATCTGGGCATCCCTAGAGTCAGCAGCCGGATCCTCTGCTTCTTCTGGAGCTGCAGACTCCTTATGCTGCGCAGCAGCGTCGAAATCTGCTTGCTCTTCCTCATCAAGCAGACCCAGAAGGCGACTTGTCTTGGAGCGGAGCCAGTCCGCATCCGAAACAGCTGGCGCCTCGGTCTCGGCGACAGTATCATCCTGCTCTGCCGGTGCCTCGGCGTTGCCCTCCCCACTGTGGTCTACCACCATGGGTTCGGGTGATCCATGAGCTTCGCGATCAGCTGTGTGCATCTCCTGAGAGTGATCATGGTCATCGCCAAGCTTTGCCTTCTTCCTTTGTGCATAGGTAAGCTCCTGAGGTTGCTCCTCTACTTCAGCGGGTTGTTCTGCAGGTGAGTCAAGCTCCGGCGGTCTGGGCACATCATCATTTGCCCATGTCTTGGTCTTAGAATGTTGCATTACAGAGAGATACTCTTGCAAGCGAGCGTCTTGCGGGGCGTTTTCGCCATCCCGTTTACGCTTGAGGGAAGCATCTGCGGCATCGCCGGCAGAGATCCTGTCATGTTTTCCAGCTTTGCGAGTGGGTTCGGCATCGATCTACAAGATTACTGGTCAGTCACAAGACCACCTTGACTGTCAGCGGGGAAAACAAAAGAAACAAAGCAAGTGTGGATAGGGAGTAGAGCACATACCGGCTTAGCAATGTCTACTGAGATTTTGGACATCTTCATGTAAGTCTTATTGAAGTAAGACACAGCCTGCTGGGCCGCCTCATGGTTCTTGAAGCCCACGAAGCCAATCCTGCGCTTAGGCAATACATGAGCGTCTGTGACTTGGAAGCGAGTAGCAAAGTGCTTCCTCAATTGATCATCAGATAAGGTTGGCGGAAGGCCAGAGACAAATACTCTGGTGCTCTCCATGATTGTGACAATGTGTGCCACTGAAATAGTTTGGAAAGAAAAAGTTCGAAAAATTTTTGGTGGAATGTTTTTTTTGCTTCCTTATAGTGCCGAGGGCGGTGAGGAGGGCGGCCTGGCCCGTGCGTGATCCGGGCGGCGTCCATTGCGCGCAGCCGGCAATGTTGATTCCCAATACTTCCATTGGGCTTCGTGGGACGTCTTTGTACACTAAATTTATAGTGGTTGATCCGTGTCTTGAATCCTTGCTCATTTTACCTATCACTACATTCCTCATCGACGTCCAGCAAAATGGCTAGCGAAAAGAAGGATAAGCTTGAGGGTAAGTCCCCGAACGCGGCATCGTCAAACGATGGCTAACATGACCGTTCAGCGCAGATCAAGTCCGTCGATATGGTAAGAGGAATTGCTGGAGGTAAATAAGAATTGTGCTCACAGCATGGCAGACGGAGGATATGCAGCAGGAGGCTGTTGAAGTTGGTATGGTCAGCCCTACGGGTCACCTGGAAAAGGAGAGCTAATACGATGGATAGCAATTGAGGCAATGGACAAGTACCACATTGAGAAGGTAGGTTCGGCGTTTTCTGTTTGCTACCATTGCTGACGACGATAGGATATTGCTCAATACATCAAGCGAGAGGTCAGCACTGCGCACTGTATGCGAATCACAGCTCATTGCTCACAATCCACAGTTCGATTCGCGCAAGGGTGCGACATGGCACTGTGTCGTCGGGAGGAACTTTGGCAGCTTCGTCACGCATGGTGAGTGACGTTGCCAGGGCATCAGGAGTAAGGGCTAACTTTTGAGCAGAGACGAAACACTTCATCTACTTCTACCTCGGGCACTGCGCCATTCTCCTTTTCAAGACTCAATGAACATACGACCACAGACACCGGTCTGATTCGCCCAAGCGAAGTCTATAACCTTTTTCGGATAATTCAAGCAGAAGTAACGTGCAGTGAAAGGTCCCATGCAAGCGCTGGAAGGAAATGCAGGCATATGGTCCCGAACAAAATGCTGCGGGGTTTGCCTAGAGGGCACAACGCGGCGGTGATTCTTCCGCGCATCTACCTACTACTTGATTCCAATTCTTTGTTAATCATTTCAAAATATCCTAGTAGTGAATACAAGTTGATCCAATCGCAGAACTACTGCAGTGCTGCACCGTAGACACGTAGGCTTTCCAGCATGCAGGATACACTGCCAACCATCACTACTACTAAATATATAATGCACACCCAGCAACGCAACGACACCGCCGAGTGCGGAACGCCAAGTGCCAACCCGCGCCAAGCCACAGCGCCACACGTCAGCCCCAACCAGTCTATTATATGGCTGCCTCCCCCTTCCCATTAACTTGGGCTGCTGCCAATGTTATCCCTCTACACGTCGCATTACATGATCCAACGCGATCCCGATTCCTTGTCATTTATTACCTCCTTAGTTAGAATAAACCAACCCACCCTTTGTTCATCCTGAGAGCACCCCAAAGCCGTAAACATGGCCATCTGCATCACCTTCGGAACACATGGTATGTGACTTATCTACTCCCTTCCCTCCTACTCCACCGACCGAGGCGACGACCCTTATGGTTATGAATTCCACCACACCTAACAAGAACCCACCACACCCAACCAACAATAAAGATGCCAAAACTAAGACCAAAGGAATTCAGAGTTCACTTCTATGCTAGAAGGATACGAGAATGTCCGCGCATTTTGCTATAACTGTATGAGTCCCCTGGACCCTGACAATCATGACTGCTAATTTTAGCTCTGGTTCCTGACCCAACCAGTAATTTACTCGATTATTGACTGACCCGTCTTACTCCTTTGAATCTAGGCCAACATTGGAATGGTCATTGTTTGACGAGATGGTAAGCTTATACCTCACTAATTCCTTTAGTTGAGGATATGTTTGGGGTTGTATGCTAATGTATGATGATGATCAACTAGGCCGTGGTTCACCGTCTGCTTCATTGTAATTATGTCCCCCGTCCGTCCGCATGACGCCGGACTCTACTGACCGTATATCTCCATATAGCCTGTCATCCCTCTCGCAACACATAAGTATAAGGTATGTTGATATATCATTTTTCATCCTAACATATATACATTTCGGGGTGTATCTAATGTCATCATAGGAAGTAACCTGCTACACATGCCGCTTTACGCAGGATCTACGGTAACCCCATCCCAACATAATCCAGTAAAAAAGGAAGGGAAGGTAAAGAAACTAATACATAGTCACAGCGACCGTCCTGATATCACACCAGAAACGAGACCACCTCCGGGTGTCGTACCAGGCCAATTACCACAGGCGTACTATGGCGGCGGTGCACCTTTCTATCCCCCACAGCAGGCATCAGGCCCACCTCCACAGGCGTCCGGGGGTGTGGTAGCGCCGCCGCAGCAGCAGGCAGAGCAGCAGAACCATGTGTATAAGTGATGATATTCTCTGATGAAATTTCGTTGATGATGTATTATGATGGGTTGAGGGTCTGTTGTCTGTACTTATCGAATACCTCTTGCTTGCTTGCTTGCTTGTTGCCCTTGTGTCTGGTGGTTAGCTTACTAGCTATCGCGCATGTATTGTATCAAATCCGATTTATCCACTCTATTGCGGTGTGCAGTATATCATATGAAATCATATTATCATAGTACTATTTGAACTCAACATTATACAGTAACGAATGGGGTATATATCCAAACCGATGAAGAAATCCAATCATAACCATCCCAGACCCAACATTTCCAGACATCAAGCACATATCTCATCAACAGAATAACCGATTCCTCGCAACATAATAATCTACTTCTCCAAAACCTCCTTCTTCTCCATCACAGGCGTCTGCACCCCAGAAACGTCCCCACTCGTCATCTCCCCCACAATCATTCCCTTTCTTCTTCCCCTCTTCCCCGTAATGTCCAACGCCATCATCCTCACCGTCCTCACAATACTCTCCCGACCCTCATACAGCGGGAAAATAACCACGCCGAAAGTGGTACAGAACAGCCAAATCAGACCGACAACGACCCAACCCGTAAAGAACTTCTTGCTGAAGACATACGAGCTGCCGTACATAGGGATGGGCCAGAGGATGAGGAAGCAGAGAACCATGAAGATGGTCAAGGTGCGGGAGTAGAGAGCAGCGCGGTTGAGTTTGCGCGTTTCTTCCTCCTCCTGGGCGGCAGACTGGGTGTTGATCTCGCCGGGGATGAGTTCGATGTCGATGTGAGCGGCAGCGGCAACGTCGGCGTCGTCGACGCGGCGGATGGCGCGCATGGTGCCGTAGTCGTAGTTTTGAGAGCCGAAGATGAGGGTGAGGATCGGAGAGAAGACGACGGGACTGAGGAGGGCGGCGACGTTGCCGGCGAGCATTGGGTAGCTGGTGCGGGAGATTTGTTAGTTGGTTGTTTGGAGGGAGAAAATGTTGGGGTGGACTCACTTTGCGCCTGTTGTGGTGACGGTCAGGATGCCGTATTGTTTCTTGGTTGTCACGAGCCACGCGATAAGGGAGACGGCGAGGCCGAGGGGTGGCGAGGCGGCTGCTGCAATCCAGTTCTGGTGCTTCCAGATGAGGGACATGGCGCCGGGGAAGACTGCAGAGGAGATGATCACGCCCATCAACAGGTAGAGATAACCCATTCCAATACCAGCGTAGTAAAGACCGGTGGAGAAGCCGGCCATGGCGATGGCCCAGAACACACAGGTCATGTGCGAGACCCAGACGAGACGCTTGCCCTTGGCGGATGGGTCGATGTAGGCCTGGTAGATATCGTAGGTGAAGATGGATGAAACGGCAATCAACTGGGCGGAGAAAGCGGAGGTGACTGCCATGAAGATCATGATTGTCGTGCAAACTGCGCCGCTGTAGCCGAGAAGCTTGACGGCAGCAAAGGGCAGCACAAGACCGGCTGTGACGTCGTCGGAGCTCAAGCGTTGAGTGCCCTCCAAGGAGAGAGCAGTCATGCCCAAAGTGCTGGCGCACAGCCAGGGAATCGCGAACCAGCAAAGACCACCAATGACATATCCGGGGAAAGCGTGCACGGGGCTCGCGGCAATGGCTTTGTTGTAGTAGCCGTTGTCGAGGAAGACGGTACTGTTACATTCATTAGCAAGCAATCGATGCGGAAGTGTGGTGGCTAACGTACCCAAAGTTGCCGACCAGGTTGATAATCCAGAAGATGCCACCCTCCTTTGACCTCATGGTCAGATAGCTTCCCTCAGCATTGCCGTCAACTGGGTGGAGCTTTGATGCTGCTACTAGTGCATCATAGACGGCTCCGGGAGATCCAAGCTTGTCGCTAGTCGCATAGGCAGAGAATGCGAAGATGAAGATGACGACAATGATCACGACGGTGTGCATGTAGTCCGTGATGAACGTCGCCTTAATACCACCGAATAGGGTATAGAGCACGACACCAATCGGCAGGAGGAAACAGGCAGCAACTGTATTAACCCCCGTGAGAGATGTCAAGACGGCAGAACCACCAGTCAGCAGCATGGCGGTAACGAGAATGTTGGTCATCAGGCAGAAGACGATGAAAACAACATGCACAACGGTTCCATATCGAGCACGAAGAGCTTCGAGGAAGGTATGCGCATTTGGAGCCCTCCGCTTCAGCTCAATGGCCAGGGTAGCGAACAAGATGATTTGGACCGTAGCACCTGTATCACCTAGTCAGAATGTCTTCAGAGTGTTGTTGCTGGCTGTAGATACCTGATGCGTAGAAGAAAGGACCCGAGATGCCATATTCGTAGGCCACTGTGGTCGATTGAAGAAGAGTCGCAGCCCATGTCCAACTACTGACGACTGCCGCAGCAACCAAACCCGACTTGACTGATCTTCCAGCCGTTGAGAACATCTCCGATGTCTGCACTTCATTCTGGTATCTATGTAAGACCCGTTAGTCTCGCGATCCAATGCTTGAAGAAAAGCCATCTTTGGAAAGGGATTAGACTACATACCGCTTCAAAGCCCAGGTGATGAAGATCATAAGCAGGGCAAAGGCAAAGCCCAGACCAATGATGATGCCATAGCCAAACCCTTGCGAGAGAGGCGCTGTGAATGTGACTGTGTCTGAAGACATGTTGGCAGTGTTTGAACACGCGAAACGATGCCTTGCTATGGCTGGACAATGACTGATAGAGACAAGGCCCTGAGCATGGCGGCAGAGGCAAGAACATATAAGGCACGGGACCCTCGAGAAATCTCCGACCTCGCAGACACGCTGGTGATCGGCGGGAAAGCCATATTGAATGAATCACTACCGATCCAATATCATTGGATCCGAGGCGTCAGGCCTGGGGAAGTGAATGGCTGATAAGAGCAACTCCTGGTGGCCGTTTCGTAATGTGCTTTCATCAGATGGGGGTGTAACATCAATGGCAGTGGACTAGCTGCAGGTGAGTTTAGTACCGAGTCATCGAGTAAGTGCCATCGTTCCACAGTTCCATAAGCATACACATGGATTATCCCATGCCCTCTCCACTTTCTTTGCAACAAAATCAACAGCCGAACCCCAAGTGGGTTATCAACGTATCGGCTCCGGGCAGCTTATTGGCGAGGCGGAAATGCTTCTTATCAGCGGAGGTCAGCGCAATGACGCCCATTGGTCCGAGTTGGGAGCGGACGATGATAAGAAACCGTAGACTATCAGATAAGGATGTCAGCGAAGTCATGGATTGGTGTGTTGGTGCAGCCTTTTTCTTTGCCAAGAGTTTATGGCTTTATAGGGAGCAGCCTTGATGATAGCGCTCTATCAGTTACTTAGTTTACTTACTCGATCCTGCCACTAATGCTTTGGGGGTCTTCCCCACTGCTCGTGGTTTTGGAAGCCGGGGAATTTCCATCATACTTCGATTCCTGTAATTGGTGGGTGCTTGAGTAAGAACAACTGATCTTGCTTTTATCTGATGTATGCCAGATCTCAGTACTGCGTACTGCGTAGGGCAGGCCTTGCTTGTGGATATGTCACCCACGTGTGCTTCACCTTAGGCCATTGGGTTCTCGGTATGTGGATTGGCCCACGAATATATATCAATTGTCTGTGTTCGTCGTCCTTTAGTTAGATGTGTGCACAATATATACATTATCGCCTAGTATGTTATTGAATAGCCATCTCAATGTTGTACCTGTGACATTACTACTTTACCTCATCCCGGTGTCACAACTACTATCTAGAGTCTACACCACTACCTAGTAAATACTATATATACATGATCACCTGGGCTCCTAAGTACTAACCCACCAAGACCGGCACTACTGCAGTGATCTAATTATCTCACCACCGTACAATACTACTAGCTGGTATTGTTCCTAGCCATGACTCACGCCATTTCAAGCCAATATACATCAGCACTAGCAACTTAACACCTAACTCCCATCAGGGTTTCATATACTAAACACCCACAGCCCACCACACCCAGAACCAAACCATCTACCACACCAAAACCACCATGACCACCGAAATCCACCGCACCAACGACCTAACCATCAGCCTCTCCCACACACCAACAACCCCAGGCCACACACTCGCAACCCTAACCACCACCACTACCACCCTCTTCTCCCTCCCCAAATCCACCTTCACCACCACCCTCCTCACCCTCCGCACCATAACCCCCGCCCTAAACCAAACGTACCACACCCCCCGCATCGCCCTAATAACCTCCGGCAACAGGACCATCTCCCTCCTCCCCCTCCACGGCCTCCCCTCACCAAATACCTGGACGCCCATACTAAGTCCCGAAACGTCCTTCCACGACCCCCAAACCACCACCTCCCAACCCAACTACATAACATCCAAATCCGGCCCCCGCATGCCCTCGGCCCAACTAACCCACCTAGCCAACACCATCACAACCCATACCAAATCCACCCCAAACTACACCTTCCACGGCCCCTCCACAGACACCAACCTCTTCGCGAACATAATCCGCGGCACGGAGCACCCCCAATGGCGCATCTGGGAAGATGAGTCCCATGTGGCGTTCCTCACGCCATACCCGAACACCCCCGGGTTCACGGTGTTAGTGCCGCGGAGGCATTTGGGAAGTGATATATTTGCGATTGGGGAGGAGGAATATAAGGGTTTGGTGGGGGCGGCGTGGACGGTTGGACGGGTGTTGATGGAGGCGTTGGGGGTGGGGAGGTGTGGGATGGTGTTTGAGGGGTTGGAGGTGGATTATGCGCATGTTAAGTTGGTTCCGGTTTATGGGGAGGGGGAGGAGGATGGGGGTGGGGAGAAGGAGGTGTTTCGGGAGGTGTGTTCTGGGTATGTGAGTTCTTTGCCTGGGCCGGAGGTAGGGGTGGAGGATGTGGAGGAGTTGGTGAGGAGGGCTGGGGAGATTCGGGGGGTGATTGCTGCGCGGGGAGTATGAGGGATATGGAGAGTGGTTGTAAGGATTATAAGACAGGGGTTGGGACAGGGTTCGCTTCGACG